TAGCAACTCTACTGTTTATCTGTTTATTCCTGGACTCAATTCAAAGTGCTGGATATGACCTATAAAGCCCTAAATGATTTGGCTCCAAGATATCTGTAAGACTGCATGCCTCATAAGAGGTTCTCCAGCATTGCAGATATCAAGTGGAGGCCCTTCCCTCAAACCCACCACTCTCACAGGGACATTTGGGGAGAACATAAGAGGCAATCTTTCCAGCAAATGATCCCAGCCTGTTCAACCCCCTCCTACTAAAGACTAGGCTGGCTCCATCTCTCCTTTCCTTATACCAACACGCAAGAACGTTACATGTCTGGCAGTTTTTTTAGCAATGAAGCAGGCTATAGAAAGAAGAACTTGTAAAGGGAGAGGCTGCATTTTTCTTTTTTTCAAATGTTTGAATTTAGCAATTTATTAATTTTCATAGAATAATGGAATGAAGTAGTTGAAAGGGATCCATCGAGTCCTATTCCTGCCCAATACAGCAACCCAGGTTAATCTGATGAATCTCTCAAATGCCCCCAGTGTTGGAGTGCTCACCACCTTCTGAGGCAAATAGTTTCATTCTTGTATTGCTCTATCAGGACGTTCTTCCTGACAGTCAGACGAAATCTGGCTTCCTGTAAACTGAGCCCATTTTTATGTGTCCTGCACTCTGGCATGAGTCTACACAATCAAATGCCTTAATAATATCTAATAAAATTATACCTGTCTTTACCTTTTGTTTAGAAATTCCATTTATTACATTTAGCATTCTCCTCACTAACTTCATTTATGTTATTCACTTCAAAATCACATTTTTAGAAATGACGGTTGCAGCCCCTTCTTGACCTTGAATTTCCATAACCTTTTTAATAAATAGCAGACCAATTTAGTTTAACTTCATTAACACCTTCTTTTGCTTGATGAATTTCTTGTAAAGATATTATAACCACTTCCTCCAAGTTTAATAACATCTTTTCCTCTTTATAACACTCCCCAGGCTGTTCATATTTAAAGCTGATATTCTTAGAATTGCAGAGCTGAATAATCGAGTCCACCCTCTGTTCAGGAGGCACAGTTAGGCTTTGAACTCCCAGTTTCTAGCTCTATGGTTGGGAAATGAACTCATAAACTCTACACATCTGAGCTATCCAGGAGATTTTAATCTGTTAGCCATAATTATTTACCATTATTTCTCCCTTCTGGTCCCAAGTAGAGAACACTTCCCGAACACACATTAAAAAAGCAAACAATACCCCAAGCTTGCCATCCCCACACAAAATTTTCCCCTCTTTTTATCTACCAAAGATCCAACATCCTGACCATTGTTTGCTTTGTAACCCTCCGGGTGGGGGAGGTTCTGCCCACAATCTTCAAACCAACAGCCACCCCAATTATCCCATTTTTATGTCTTATTCCCTACTTCTTTATACCACCCCTACTTCTTTAAACTAACTCTATTTAGTTTTCCCTTCCCTTTTATTTATTTATTTATTTATTTATTTATTTATTTATTTATTTATTTAATTTATTTATTTATTTATTTATTTATTTCAACCTGTATGCCATCTGCACTCTGCAAGAGTCTCCTTCTACCTTCAACCGCATACCCATTTAAGTGATGTCTCCCCCCCCTCCTTACCTATACTTCTTCCTAATCTATTGCGCACACTTCCATTCTAACTTCAGGCTTGTATCTACTACAGCAGCTCAAAATATACAGTATTTATTTTAGGGCAACTGTTCTATTCAAATTTTAACTTATTTTATCATCCACATACCCTCTAGCTCTCTAAATTATTTAATAGTTCACCCATCCCTATGTGGCCATTTAACTTTCTCCTCCTTAGCTTGCTTTATCTGGAGTTATTTCCTTCCTTGCATTTTAAAATTCTTTACACATTTTGCTTCCTTTCTTATGCTCGTAGCCTCCTTTTAGGGGTAGAACCCTATTACTCTGAGGAATTTTAATTTACCAGTTTACATCCCTTTTCCCACCTTAATATTGGTTTCCCTCTGGAATTCCCATTAATATTGCTTATTTGTTAACAAATAGTTCTTCAGATTTATATGTAACCCCATCATATGTATCTAATAGGCTAAATAAAACGAAGTTCAGTGGTGTCCATATTACATCTTTAAATCTTCTTCAGAAAAATCTCCAAATTAACTCTTCTAAAACAGTATACCCTTTTTAATAATATATGTTATACATATCAAATAGTCCAAGAAAAAAAGTCCCAATTACAGTGGTGCCTCGCTAGACGATGATAATCCGTTCCACTGAAATCGCTGTTTAGCTAAATCATTGTCTAGCGTAAAGCATTTCCCCATTGGAATGCATTGAAACCTGTTTAATGCTTTCCAATGGAGAAGAATCGTCGTTGTCTAGTGAAGATTGGCCATAGGAAAGCCGCTTTGCCAACCGCCAATCAGCTGTTTAAATCACTGTCTTGCGAAGCTTACGTCCCAAAAACACCTGTTTTGGGAGCACGGAGGAAGCTGTCAAAATCGTCGTCTAGCAAAAATCGGTTTGCAAAGCAGGGACCAAACATTGTCCAGCAAAATTCCCCCATAGGAATCACTGTTTTACGTATCGCTATAGCTATCGCAAAAAGTCAATGTCTAGCGAAAAAACTGTCATGCGAGGTAACTGTCTAGCAAGGCACCATTGTAGTTTTAAAATAAATCTTTACATCCTCTTGACATTGTGGGCATTTTTAAAGTTGTTTCTTCCTCTGAGATGGAAGACTGACCAAGCAGTTTCCCATGTAGTTTGGCTTTTTGCTGGGTTGCCAGCTTCAACCATTCCTAGATGGAAATAGTCTGGCCAGAGGGATCCATGATTCAGTATTTTGTCAATTGGATTATTGTAGTGTGTAGTACATAAGACTACCCTTGGTGTTGACCTGGAAGTTTCAGCTAGTGCAGAACATAGTGGCTAGAATTGTAACTGCTGCAGCTAGATGAAGTCCTATAACACCATTTCCAAAAGAGTTGCACGGGCTGCTTATTCCCCTCCAAGCCCAATTCAAGGTGCAGATGCTTGCCTCAAAGGCCCTAAGTGCCTTTGAACCCCAAGTACTGTAGCAATGCTTCTTACCATACCAGCCTCCTATATTTTAAGGTTAGAGGAGGATCATCTCCAAGTACACTGAGAGACTATCAATGTGTAAACAAGAGAAGGGGCCTTCTCAGTTTTAGTGCCTCAGAGCTATAGCACATCTTCCTCACAGATGTGGAATTGGTGCCCACACTTTCTGTTCATTTGGACATTTTAAATCACTTCTTATATCTCTTTTCTTATATTTGCTATTTTTTCTGATTTATTTTAATGAGTTACTATGTTTTTATTATCTTAAATATAGTTATATCACTGGTATCTTCATAAGTAAGTTCTCATTAAGTACATACACACACATATAAACAAAGTGGCTTTTTACTGGTTTTAACCTGATATTTTTTGCTACAAGCAGAGCGACAAAAGTAAGGATTTAGACATCTAAATGGTCACATTTAGTCACACAAACTTGTGTAATCATCTGCTGTGCATTTGAAATTTATATTATTTGTTCAGTACAGTTTCTATTTTATTGGCCTCAGCCAATAATTATGTTGTGGTTATGTGCTGTCAAGTTGTTTCTGACTTCTGGCAGCCCTATGAATTAATTAATTCCAAAAGGTACTATCACTAAAAGTACCCAACGGTACCGCTCAGGTCTTGCAAACTAAAGGCTGTGGCTTCCTTTATTGAGTCAGTCCATCTTATATTAAGTCTTCATTTCTCCCTATAACCTTCACCGTTTCCTAGCCTTATTGCCGTTTCCACTGAGTTCTCTCTTCTCATAATACTGTATATCCGAAGTGTCATAGCTTCAGTTTAGTCATTTTTTTCTGCTAGTGAGAGCTCAAGTTTGATTTGCTGTAAAGTCTACGTATTTGTTTTTGTGGCAGTCAATGGAATCTATAAAACTCTTACCCAGCACTGCATATTTAACAAATCTCTTAGTTTGCTCAACATATTTTGTTGTCTAGTTTTCATATCTGAACCTCATAATTCAGAATACTATAGTATTGGCCTGGGTCTTACAGTTCAGGATCCTTTCTATTTCCTTCCTACTTGCCATTCCACATCTCGGTCTGCTTAATTAATGACAGCATTATTGCTATTTATTTGCAGCTCTTCTCCAGTATCTGCCTTCTGACCTGAGAGTCTCATCTTCCAGAGCCTCATCTTGTTTTGTTCTTATCAGAGGGTTTCTGACATATAAAATATTCAAATATGATCTATCGTCGTCTCTTGCACACTACCAAATCAAAACTAGCATGGGTACCACCGCTGTAGTCTATGAAAGATCTTCAACCAGGGTCGCCTTCCACTACTGTTGCTGCCCAGTTACTTCTCTTCAGGAGAGGGATGCATCTGCTGTTTCACTTTTGATCTTTTCACATTGGGTGTGATATGGGGTGCTCTCTTTTCTGGTCAAACTTTGGCACAAAACTAGTATTATTGACAGCTCCACCAAATATGTCATTCTCTTGCAGAAGAAGCAGAATAAATTTGCACTTGTCATCCACATGTGGAAGAACAAGACAAGGAAGGATTTAAATCCCTCAATAACCTTTCAAAATTTCACATAGAGCAATATCAAGACACAGGTTTATAATGTTTAGACAATGCCTGAGTTTAGATGCACATTATTCTATCTCCATTCCTAGTGTGCAGTTATAATTTGACATGATGTCCAGATCAAACAATGTTCAGTGCTAACCAGGATTGCATCCAAACAATAGTTTATGAGCTAAAATTAACCATGGCTTGGAAGTGGCTCCTGATTAGTACTAAATTATCTGATTCTGATAATGATGGCAAAGTGCAATAACATAAATCAGGAAACAGTCAGTGCACACGGTAAGTATGAGGAGGATGTGTGAAAACCCGCAGCAAGTCATTACAAAAGGAAACTTATATGGAAAAATAATTAAAAGGAATTAAAGAAGATTGCATTTTATAGTTTTACCTTTCAGCCACTGATTGTTTTGGTAAATAAAAATCCTCTTCTGCTAGATATGCAGCTGCTGTTCCTCCTCCAAAATAGGTTTTCTTTAAGCAAGAAGCAATGTCATTCTTTACCAGCAGGGCACCTAAACCAGTGGGAAATCCAAATATCTTATAGAATGACAGTGGCACAAAATCTGCTGGATGAGCACTTAGGTCTAATGGAGAGGTGCTGACGTAAGAGGCTGCATCCAAGACTATACACCATTTCCCCTGAACCTTGATGGGGCAGAGCTTTCCAGATTTTATCTGTTCTATCCACTCAAGGGGATACTTAGTCCCTGAAAAATTACTCTGAGCAGGATAACAGAAAAGATGAAGCGTTTGGCAGCTCTTCTCTTCAGCTATCATGCCATTGACGTCTGAAAACATGTCCTTTGGCTTTACTGGAACAAACAAGACATTCTTTGCAGCAGGAACCCCTCTCATGCCTATTACAGATGTGTGGCTGTCAGTGAGGTAGCAAAACCGGCTGCCAGGATTCTCTGAAATTTCAGGTGCCCAGGGAAAAGCTTCTGCAATGAGCTTCAGCGCTGCTGTGCTTCCTGAGGTGAAAATGACAGTGTAATCTTCTGTCGTTGTATTGAAGTGCTGCAATATCCTGCAAAAAGAAAAAAGAAAGAACAGCTTTGAAGAGGCATACCATAAAAACATCTCCCACCGGTCATAAGGTCTTATTCTACCATATATATTAAAATCTGAGACAACAAAAAGTGTGACTACTGGCATGGAGCCTTACGTGTTCCCAAACTATATTGGTTCATTCATTAATTTGACTTCTGTACTTTCCCATCAGTGCAAATACTTTCTGGGTGGCTCACAACCCATCACAACATAATTATAGTCATACAAACAAACAGAAAAAAGCACTAAGTACAATATAAACAATAAAAACTCTGTCTCTAGATGAGGGGAAAACCATGTATTTAAATGAATTAAACAAATTGAAACACATTTGAACATTCCAGGTCAATTAGTTTTTTTATTTTATTTTAATTTTTTATTGACAATCCCCTCACTTTATTTATCAGCCATGTATCTCATGACAGCCATAATAAAGCAACTTAAAGTTATAATGCAATACAATCACCTTACTTATATAATAGTTTGCCACCTTACAATCATCTATTAGTAAAATACTAATAAAAGGTAATTAACTTTCTGAAAACTGAGAGAGATAGTGCCTGGCAACTGTCTGTAGAAAGTTCCCTTCCAGAGGGAAGCACAGTTCCTGCTATCAGCTGTTTTCACTTCCTTAGGTGTCACAAATTTTAGCATCAAGGACTGTGAGGAGCGGGTGAGATGAGGAGCTATTTTGCAGGAGAGATGTTCCAACAAGCATCAAGGTCATAAACTAATAAGGGCTTTACAAGTCATAGCCAGCACCTTGAAGTGATCACAGAAACTAACAAAGAGCCAATGAAGGCATACGATGACTGGAGTTATGTGTTCATTCATGAGGTGTTCATTCATGAGGGAGTACACTTCATCCCCCCAGGCTGTACCATCTGAGAGCAGCTCTTAAGAAAGGCCTGGAACCAATAAAAAATGGACCCCCCAAGTTCTAAACTCAATAAGTGTATCTGAAGGGTATCAAATCAAATCATTCATTATGCAGCCACAGACCCAAGTTAGAACGGTATCATGGCCAACACTGTCAAAGGCCACAGAAAGAGCCAGAAGATTACACTTCCCATCAGTATTGTATCCATCTGGAGCTTGTCTTGCAGGGCAACCAATGCATTTTCAGTTCCATAGTGCAGCCTAAACCCCATTTTAAATAGATCTAGATGATCCATATCCTCCAAGAACACCTGCATCTGGTTGGCCACCAGCCTCTCCATCATCTTTGCAACAGGTCTTAGGTTGAAGGCATCCATTGGGACCTTGACTCTTGATACTGGTAGATCTGAATGAGATTCCAATGCACTACTGTATCTGGTTACATTAAATTGGATCGATTTCAGTTAGTATGGACTGAGGATGTAGACAACCGTAGATCTAAAATGGGTTGCTGTGCATTTGCAGTTATCAGCATATTAATGTAAAAACTGTTTTTGTCTGCAAGAGACATGGCCTCAGGCTGCACAGAAAAGTTCCACCTGTTAGTTAAAAGCAGCCTCAATTAGGTGGTCTTAACTTTATTATGGTATTCCCCCAAGAACCTTCTCTGACATTCACCAGATTGCACTCCATGAGAGCTTTCCTCCATTTGCCCGCTAGCCTTCTTTGTAATTGCTTCATTGCCCTTAACTCCTCTGTGAACCGCCTGGAAGACCAGGCTCCACAACAAAGAAGGTGTTTAGGGACAATCATGTCTACAGCTTGGGTCATTTCTGAATACCAGTGAGTGACCAGAGCTTTAACATATCAGCGTGAAAACCCCCTAGGACATTTTGGAAACCACTCAGAGCCATCATTTCTCAGGGGCAAACTATAGTAACAGGTCCCTTCATCCTATGGAGGGTTACAGTTGTATGGTGTCCAAATCTCAGCAGGAGATGATCTGGCCATGACAAGGTGGAGGACTCAGGGTTCACCACCTTCAGATCTCTGGTCTGATGTGGACAACATATTGTGGGTGTAACCTAAAACATGTGTGGGCCCAGTGGAGTATTGGGACTGGCCCATAGCAACCATAAACTGCGGATCTGTTCCAGTCAGCTGCATCTCTACATGTCTGTTGGAGCCCCCTAAAAGCAATCGTCTGGGGGACCTCAACACAGCAATAGAGACATATTCTGACAGTTCTCATAAGGAGTGTGTGGGTCACAGGTTGAGCAATACATAACACCAGTCCCATTCTGGCCTGTTGGTCCAGTGTGAGGTGAAGACATTCCAAACCTGAGCACAAAAGGACAGAGATCCTGCTAATGTTAATGGAGTTTCTATGGCAACACCCTCTCCCTGCCCTTCTGATGTGCCACGATGCTGGATTGAATATCCTGGACATACTGCTGGGAAAGGGCTACTCCACCTTCTACTCACACACAGGTTTCATTTATGCAAGTCAAGTCAGCCTTTTCATCTTCTATTGGATCTGTTATTCATTCAGATTTATTTTGGACCAACCTGGCATTTAACAGCAACTTGTGCATAGGGCGGCCGATAGTGTTACCTCGATTCTGCCAGTTGAGAAGAGGACATATATTATGCACCACCAATGACATGACCCTGCTCTCAGAAATTTTATCCATGAGATATAACAAGCATTTCTTCACCCTTTATCCCCTAGACAACATACATGACACTTGTGAACCATCTTCTCATTTGTAAAGAGCAATAACAATAACAATGCTTCCAGAGGCTTCTAAAACAATAAAGTTAATCTGTCCACCCAAAGGGTGTTGCGATATCCTGAAAAACAACAAAAAAGATGCCATAATTGTGGAGAACCTTCCCTCCCTGTAACATACTGTGTTAAGGGATTTATGGGATCACTCCATGTCATGTGGGACAATAGCTAAGTTTCATAACAGGTTCAGCACACTGCCACACACACACCCCAAAGCAGAATGCATAACAAACACAAAGTCTTGCAACACCTTTAAGAGTAAGAACTATATTTTATTGGGAGCTTCCTGGAGTACAATCTGCTTCTGAGAAATTTCAGACACAATTGTATACTCAGTGTACAGTACTGTATATACACACTTTACATTATGATTACACATTACATGAGAGCGAAGTGATACAAAGATAACAATTGCATCATTAGCACAGTTAATGATTTTTCAAAGTGGCTGTTACATGAACGTATTTCATTAATTTGTTGTCTGATACACAACAGTTAGGTTTGGGTCTTAGAGAATCTTTAAAGACTCCCACTTCAAAACATAAACACACACAAAAACTGGAAGTGCCTATCTAGACACTGTCTTGAGTTGTTTTAGTGGCCAGTTCTTCTTCACCTCATTGAGTGGGTATGAAATGTCACATTGATCTTGAAGTTCTGAGTCTCCCTCATGCATTTGAATCTGAGAGCTCGGCTGTGGACTATAGGCGAGGTGTGCTCTGGGTGAAAACCAGAAGCATGTGAGAATATGTAACAATCAGTGAATTTTTAATACAACATCGTGTTCACATGTTCACTGTGCAGAGTACAATGGTGTCCAGAAAAAGTGCTTGCTGTAATGACTTGTTCAGGCTGAGGTTGATGGAAGAGTGAAAGTTACTGAAGTCCTCATGGAACATTTTAAATTGCAGTGGGGTCTTGACTTGAGAACTTAATCCGTATTGGAAGGCGGTTCTCAAGTCAAAAAGTTCTCAGGTCAAATCTGCATTTCCCATAGGAATGCATTGAAAACCATTTGATCCGTATCTGCTCTTTTCCGTCCATAGAAACTAATGGGAAGCTGCTATTCCGCCTTCGACCACTAGAGGGGGATATTTTGTTTCTTTTTTTCTTAGGTCAAGAAAGGTTCAGGGAAGGCAGGGAAAATACAGTCCAGGCAGTACAGTACCAGGCAGTCCGAAGACTGTCTCCCAATCCACTCTCTAAACGCTGGGAGGAGCTGTGGACTATAGGCGAGGTGTGCTCTGGGTGAAAACCAGAAGCATGTGAGAATATGTAACAATCAGTGAATTTTTAATACAACATCGTGTTCACATGTTCACTGTGCAGAGTACAATGGTGTCCAGAAAAAGTGCTTGCTGTAATGACTTGTTTAGGCTGAGGTTGATGGAAGAGTGAAAGTTCCTGAAGTCCTCATGGAACACTGTAAATTATTCATTTTCTGATTATGAAGGTATCGCCAGTGAATCTCGGGGGAAACAAAAGCTTTTCAGTACATGAACTGTATAAATGTTGTTCCAGGTCAGTCATGAATATATTTGCCATAAATGTGCCCACAGCTGTGCCACAGATCTTAACATACATGTTACAAGGTGAATTAGTAACATGTGAATACAGATGCAGGAACAGATGATACTTTCACTGGACCACTAAAAAAACCAAGCAGCTAGCTTTTGATGATAATTCATCTTCAGTCTATGCACCAAGTTCTTGTGGGTATTTCCAGAATTATATGCTTCTATTAATTGCTGATGGAAGCAATTCTGTCAATGAAAGCACCTTATGGGTTCTTGGCTTGTGATGAGAAGGGAAATGTATTGAGAGCTTATTTGTGAGATAGCAGCATAATTAGTAGATAATGTGCAAAATCCTGTTGCTTAGCACAGTAAATCATGCTATAGTAGGCCTATTAAATCAATGGAGATTTGGTAAATTAACTTCTCCTAAGTTCTACTGATTCTAATGAGCCTACTTTAACTACAACATACTTTATCATAGTAAATCGCAGTTAGACTAGGCCCATTTGAATCCATGAAATTTACAGAGGAATTGACTCACCAAGTCCCAACTGATTCAATGAGCCTACTCCAGCACAATTTACAGTACTTCTCTAAGCAAAAGAGCTTTGGCCATTGTGTGACATTTAACAACTGAAGAGTAAATTAACATTGACTTTGAATAATTTGTGATTGTTACATAGTATGCTATCAAGTCATAGTAAATTTATGTTTTGTAGAAAGTATATTTCATTACATAAAGTCTACAAACTAGAGAAATTACACTTATCAAAAACAAACAACTAAAGTCAGAGAACTTAAGCTCATTAACAACTTGTTCATAAGGTAGACTTTGACAGAGATTTTCTTCTGAGGAGTCTGAACCAACTTTTAGATGGACTTGTAAAACACCTTGTAATGGAAAAGAGTTTGATAAAGTATCCCATTATAGATATTATTGATTGTTTATGTTACATTGCATGTGTTATATTGTTATACAAGAATGGTATATGTTTGACACCAAGTGTCTGAACATTAATCTGTTTGTGGTAACTATATGCAGGTGCAAGGAGATTCCCAGTGTTTTAATTTTGAATTGCAGTGCAACCATCCAAAACTAAACTGTACTGGCAATCTTCTGACTAATGTCCAGTGGAATCTAATTTGCTTGTACTAAATAACTGCATTTAAATAAGGCACGAGATGAGAGAATTAATTAGATATCCCTAAACAAACATAAGCAATTAAATCATAAAAACTTCAAAATTGAGCTTTCAAGAAAATGCACTGAATAGAGTGTTTTTGTTTTATTTGTTTGTTGACTCTCCACTTAGTAACCTTTTGAAAGGACAAATCAATACTAAGCAGGTACCATATCTGATGTTTCTTACTGTGTATTAATGCTTGAAGGAGACAGTCATGTATGTTAGCAGTTTCAACATTGTTGTCTTGAGACTGAGACCGCTAACAATTGAGGGCAAAACCAGAGAATTTTCAGTGAAGTGTGAATAATCTCAAAAACCCACAATGGCTATTGGGAAAATAGGGCACTAATGTGAGCCACCTTTTCTTTCCACATAGCCACTAATGTCTGAATCTGCTTGCAGTAGGCATAAGCACGATTCTTTGGAAGAATCTACTGAGATCAGGAGAACTTACTTCTAAGAAAGAAATAAACCATTTGGAACTGGAAAGTTATAGCTCCCAAATGGGATCAGGTGGCATTATATGACCAAAAAAAGTATATTGGTATTAGAGTTTTAAGTTTAATGTTCCAATATACTTTTCACATGTTAACAGAATGTAACACAGCAACAAGTAGAGCAAGTGGGAGATAATTGCCTAATTAGCATCAGATCCCTGTCCCTTCATTGCCTCAGCACTTGACTGACTGACCCTAGAATTGGCTGAATTGGCTAGAGGTCCTGCCTGTAAGGATCTGATGACTAGTCATTAGCTGCTTCTCTAGGGTAGGCTGAATTAAAGGCAACATGACATAGGTTGTGGCATCTTAGCATCAGAGGCCTTTAAAAAGGTTTAACCCCCAAAGGAGACTGCTCATTTTAAAAGATGGCCATATCCCCTGGCATTTGTTCCTGTAGGCTGAGAAGGTCAGGTAAGTGGTGGTGCCCACCCATTCCTTTGAGGGGTTTCTAAAGATGTAAGCACGTTATTCTATTTCAGTGAATTCAGTAGAAGTGAATTTAGGGTTCTTCTGGTCTCCAGGATATTCGACAAAATGAAAGGGGAAAAAGGGGAGCAGGCAGTACAAAATACTCTTGCACCTAATGGATAATAGATTTGTTCCAGCTTGAGCTTCTACGGGATAAAATTCAGTTCCTGTGTCTGAGAAAGATTCTGATCTGCAAAAACTCTCATGGGAACAAATGCGCTGGTCTTTAAGATAAAGCAACATTTTTCATTTTCTCCTTTTCTGTCCATGTTTCCTTAATTCTTATGAGGATGAAGATAATTTAGATGAGCCTTCAGTGTGCTGATACTCCAAGATAAGAGCTGAAAGTACAGTGGTACCTCACGTGATGAGGATAATTCATTCCGTTCAAATCGCTGTTAAGCGAAATCCTTGTCAAGCGAAATGAAAAAGCCCATTGAAATGCATTGAAAACTGGTACAATGCGTTCCAATGGGCGAAATACCTCAGCGTCCAGCGAAGATCCTCCATAGGGCAGCAATTTTCTGGTGCCTGTAATGTGAGGAATCCGTCCTAAAGCACAGCGGGGAGCCATTTTGCACAGTGGGTGGCCATTTTGAAACCCGACAATCAGCTGTTTTTGATCGCCGTTAAGTGAAAAATCGGTTCCCGAAGCAGGGAACCGATCAACGTTAAGCAAAAAAAGCCCATTCGGTCATTGTTTAGCAATCGCAATAGTGATCGCGAAAAACTAATCTTCAAGCGATTTCCTCGTCTAACGAAGTAATCATCAAGCGAGGCACCACTGTAGTCAGGAGTGGGGAGATGTTGATTTCAGGCCATGCTCTGGTGAGAAATGAGTTTGGTGGGTGGTTAACATTTCCCTCATAACACATCATCGATGGTGGGCTAGGAGCATGTTCAGTAGAGCATGTTAATTTTATGACTTTAAGAGATAAAGGTCATAGCCTCTTTTACTTCTTTTCTTTCCACCAGAGGTACTGGTACACAGCTTGTGGTCTTTTTCATCCTTGGTGTTGTTCTTTAATGTCACAGAAGTTCATAATACTACTACCTACCTAGTGATGTGTGAAAGAGAGGGAGGGCATGTGAGAAGGAGGACTGCTGCTTGATTCTCCAGATAACTGTTTGGGGTGCAACCCAAGCTTTCTTGTTTAGTTGCTCCTTTTTTCTTTCCTCTCCTTTCCTCTTCTACATCCGTGGAAGGTATCATAGCTGGCAGAAGCTTCGGAATAAGAAAGGGAAAATGCTCTATGCCAGACTTTCTCCTTGGCATGGAGGTTGCTGGTGACAGCAGCAGAAAAGAGATGGGGGCTGTGGGTTTTTTTTTCCTGCCACTCCCACACTTTACCACTTAAGGTACATGGCCCACTAGTCTTCATAAAACCAGCTCTGACAGACAGGTACAGCCTTTAATTTTGATCATTTTTTCCACCTAAAAATCCTTTGAAACATGGCATTTCTAACAAGAAGAAACACATCAAATGGAATACAATCGAGACAAGAACGTTTCGATACAAACAAATGCACAAATGCAAATACAAACCACAGCAACTGCCATGGAAAATGAAGGTCACTCTACCTGTATCGGACGTGTTCGATAGTGTCATATGTAACTTTACTGCTGATGTTCTTGCTGTGAGGATTTCCTAAAGAAAAGAATTAAAAATGATAACTCATAAAAAGATTATCACACCAGTCATACAGTCATAATAATTCTTTGTGGTCAAGTGAATTTTGATTGGCGGCAACCCTTTCCAGGGTTTTCAAGGTAGAGAATACTCAGAAGTGATGTACTCTTCCCTTCTTCTCTGGGCGCCCTGGGACTGCACAGATTGCCCAAGGCAACAGAAGGCACAGTGGGGAATCCAATTCCCAAGCTCTCACTCCACTACCAGATAGATACCTAACTCAATTAGCTATCCAGCCTGGTGCCCACAGCAGTTGTGTGATTAAAGACAGCATTCATTATAAAACTTACTGTACTGCTCTGAACCATTTAGTAGATTTACAAAGGGACTAGTTAAGAAAACCAAGCAATGATGAAGTTTCTATAAAAGCATTTGATGGCATCAGATATAATTACAAAACAGCCATCAACAGTACAATCTGTGCCAGTTGCTCCCTTTTGTTAGATTATAGCACTGTCTTGCTTTGATGTCCTGACTATTTGGAGTTTGTTCTTCTCAAGTGAATTCCAGGTAAATACTACTTAAGATATAATTGTCACTGTCAGCAAAACAAGTTGGAAGTCCTCATACACACCCTCTATAACCCCCATGACCTTAAAATGGAAAAGACATTTTTTTCTGCTGCTACTGCAGCTGCATTTTCTATGGTGTCAAACAGAGTCCAGCTAGGTTTATTACGGTGCCCACTGCGGCCTCTGTAACTATCCTTCGTACAGGAACTGTCCAACATGGTGTTTGCCACACCAAGCTCCCCACATGTATATATTATACAAAAAAGATACTCCTGCCCACAAACAATGAAGAGAGATATTTTACAAATGGACTGCCATGATGTACGTCTGGATTGTTTGGAGTCTTTTTTTTCAATTGCAACAGATAGTGGTGGCATTAATGTTAATAGTTAAGAAGTTTTGTATGATATTCAAATATTTGAAAAGTGCTATCATATCACCCTTCAGTCTTCTTTTCTCAAGGCTAAACATGCACAATTCTTTCAGACTTTCCTCATAAGGCTTGGTTCCCAGCCCCCCGATCATCCTTGTTGCCCTCTTCTAAACTTGTTCCAATTTGTTAGCATGCTTCTTGAAGTGTGGTGTTCACAACTGGACACAATACTCAAGGTGAGGCCTAACCAGTGCTGAATAGTATGGTATTACCATATTTTCTATGTATAAGACAATACTTTTTCTAATTTTTTTAGACTAAATATTGAGGGTTATCTTATACACAGATGTAAGCTATGTATCCTCCTGGGGAGGCTCTCTGAGTTGGGAATTGGTGGCTTGGCACTTGCCTGGCTCTGTTCCTTCTTGGGGGAAAGGTGAGGCCTAACCAGTGCTGAATAGTATGGTATTACCATATTTTCTATTCTAAGACAATACTTTTTCTAAATTTTTTAGACTAAATATTGAGGGTTATCTTATACACAGATGTAAGCTATGTATCCTCCTGGGGAGGCTCTCTGAGTTGGGAATTGGTGGCTTGGCACTTGCCTGGCTCTGTTCCTTCTTGGGGGACCGTCCCCAGAGAGTTCAGCTTGGGGAGAGCGTCTCGGCCCCGTGGAGTCTCAATTGTGGGGTTCCACAGGGGTCAATTATCTCCCCAATGCTGTTTAACATCTATATGAGGCCGCTGGGTGGGGT